TTTTTAGTCCTTTGTTGGTTTTTGTATTACAAAAATTTTAATAAAGTTGTGGCCTGACTGCTGAATTCAAAAAAAAAAAAATAGATAAGCAAGATCTTATAACTTAAAACTTATTTAAGTTTCTTATAAACTTAGAAATATTAAACAAACTTTAGAATATATACAAACAACTTTATAAGAAATCTACCATTAATTTATATATTTGTATTTCTACTACTAATAATTTTCTATACACAGACTATTCTTTATCTATAAGCTCTATATTAATTACTAACTCTTACTAGCATATCTCAGATACAAATTTAACTTCTTTTTACAAAACTACTCATGGTCTAATAGAACTTATTTGATTCTTACTATACTCATTACTACTCTACTCATATTTCTATATGACTCTATTATCTATATTACTACATTATTAGCCTCAATTCAAAATATCTATAACTATATTTGTTTTAAAATATATCTCAACTCTAAACTTGCTAATAGCAAATTTGTTTACTAACTTGCTTGAATTACAATTATTACTATTACTACTTAGAAAAACTAACAAATTTATTTTATTACTTCATCTCTCTCTACTTTACTCAATATTTTTACTTCTTATCTAATTAATATTTTTTATAACAAGATATATATTATCTTATTTGACAAAACAATATCATCTAACACTAACTACATAGATTCATTTGATATCTTAACAATATTTATAATATATCAAATTAGTACTTACAAAACAGAATAGAATCAATTAATTCTATATACTATACTATTAACTGAAATACTCTATTTGAGTTTTTTAACTTCAATAACTTATCTAACTCAAGACAAACATACTTTAAATATATATAAACTAAAGCTTTCAAAATAAAATTCCTCTTAGATGAACTTCTAACAAGGTTAAACTTATATAAAAAGAATAACTAAAAATATTCTAACCCTTACTATATAAGATATAATACAAATATTAAAGATAATATACACTAGTAATAATACTTTTCTAACTAAAGTTCTATCAACTTAATTATATAGAGCATAACAAATAAAGTTTTTTTCTAACACTATTACTCTCTATCTTCATTAATTTAAAAAATTTTTAATATAATTATTCATAACTAAATCTATTTGCTCACTTCTCTTACTAATTCTATTCTATATATAATTCAAAGATATATTTTAAACTATCTATATAATAATATTTTCTGTCATATCAAAAAATCTAATAGTAAAAAATATTCTGTAATATGTCTTCTCTTTCACAAAATATCTAAAAAAAATATATAAGGATATATAAATCTAAAGTTCAAACTCTAATATATCTACCTTTATAAATACCTTCTCTTCTACTTCTAACCTCTATATCAACCCTACTAACTTCACAATACCTATACCCAAAAATATTAAAACTAATAACAGAATAGAATACTAATCTAGTTATTTTTCTTTTGCAAACCAATTCTCTGATATTATACTTTGTTACAGAGACTAGTTGAGGTCTAACCTTCTCTAACAGAATCTAGATTAAGGGTAAACTAGCCCTAGCTTTCTGTTCTTAGCTGATTTTTTGTAATTCTATATGTATATATGCTTATGCAGTTTATCTAATAAATAACAGAGACAAGGCCTTACTCTTTAAAATAAATAAATAAATAACCTTGTTAAAAGTTAATCAAACTTTGTAATTATTGTATGAGTCTCGACACTGATTTATATGAAAATCATATAACATATAATTTTTATATAGCAAAACCAAAATTCAGTTTTTTACTATAAAACTATCATTATGTATTAATATATGAGTTTGATATTTTTTTATAATACTAATAAATTAGACGAAGACTTTATTTTTTTTATATAATACTAATAGATTGAAATTAGCTAGGTATTTTTTTTATAATAAAATAAATTGAATAAAAACTTTAATTAGTAAGTATTTTTTTTATAATACTAATAGATTAAACAAGACTTAATTAGCTGAATATTTTTTATAAGTAATTGGTTGAGTGAAGACTTCAATTAGTTTTTTTTTAAAATGGTAATTGGTTAGGTAAAGGCTTTAGCTAGCTGTATATTTTTTATAATAGTAATTGTTAGGTGAGAACTTCAATTTGGTTTTTTTTTAAATAGTAATTGATTGAAAGAAGGTTTTAATTGTTTTTTTAAAATAGTAATTTGTTGGGCGAAGACTTCAAATAGGTAAAGAGTGTTTTTTAAAATTATAATTGATTGGAGTAAAGACTTTAAATAGTTGGGTGTTTTTTAAGATTAAAAAATATAGTAGTAAACAAACTAAAATAAGTAATAAGTTTTTTCTTATTGTTGATTCTTCTAATATCTTTGATTCTTTATTATTCTATATCTAAAATTACTTATTAGTATTCTTATTAGTATTATCATTTAAGCTAACTAATTTTTTGTTCTTCATTTGCTAGTAGCTAATAACCAATAATTAAATATTGGCCAAAAGTTTCTAATCTATATACTATTGCTATATAAATTATTTTAGTTAAAAATAATTATCAGTTATTACTATGATCAACCAATAAAAACAAATTTCTATCATGCTACGCGATTATACGAAACTATTATGGATGTTAAGAATTTTCCGCTTCTCGTCCCGTCCGGTGTGGATGGACTATCTTATTGTGGATTTATTACTGTTAAGGTAACATTCCTGTCTTATACTTAATAATTTACCGTCAATTTCACTGAAAAGAGTTGTATCGTAGGGACAAGAACTTTCATTTCAAATCAACCTTGAAAATAATAGTTCGTGCCTAAAAAACGCGAAACTTTACGGTAGTCCTGAACTAAAAAGGCTTATATTTGGTCATGAAAAGGCTTTACAGCAAGTATGCTTCATTCCCATATTTGAATTTGCTCGTTAAATAATTATTTGTGAAAGCTTAAAACAACTGATTTAATTAATAGCGCCTTGAACAATGTACAAACTTTTTAGAGTTTTTCGTTGATCTCAAAGATTTACTTGTTGAGTAGTTAACTTTTCAAAATTATGTTGTTAAAAGCCCATGCCACTAAATCTTGTCCAAAAAAAAAAAAAAGGAACTTATAATGACTAAAGAGAAGGCTGATCCATCACCGGGTGAAAATTATTACTCTACTTTAATAAGTGAGCTTAATTCTATAGGATGGGACAAATTAGAGGCATTCAATCCCTCTCTAAGAAGTTTATCTTTAAAGTTGAAGTATGTTAACTTTATATGTAAAATTTTCACAATTTTACTAAGCTAACCAAAATAATTGATTACTTTGGTGCTAGTGATTCATCCAGTCGTCAGCATAGTATTTTTGTATCTTTACCATTTTCATATCCTCAATCGCCACTCATAGTGCATACTGAGCTTCCAACTTCTTTATCTGTGCCATCAAACCATATAACAAGTCTTAAGGATGTGGTGTCTTTCTATTCTAAAGTGAGTATTAATAGATTCGCGATTTAAGCCTTCTTGCACGAAAACTTAATTTAAAATTTCAGGAATTAGAAAAGTTCCAAGATGTTTGGTCAATGCTCGATGATATCGATGCACATACTTGGGTTTTGGAACCCTGCAAACCTAAACGAAGCGATTTGATGCGCAGAATCGCTTTGGGTAATCATTGCTCTTTACAAATAGAGTTGGACGCGTCTTGCCCCAAAGAAGAATGTCAGTATCGGTTGTTTGGTACGGAAAGTTTGATTTCCCCATTACGGGAGAAAATGATTAAAAATTGGAATAATTGGTTGTACATATGTTACTTATTGCGATGTTTAATTTGAATTTTAATCTGATTAAATGTTTTTCATTAAAATAGGAATTTCGATTTAACTATTCGTCAAAATTTTGAGAATATCCTTGAAATAACTTTTCCTTCTGCACAAACTATTTCAACATCTGATATAAATATCGAATGTGGAATTTGTTATTCATATCGTCATGAAGGTTCTTTACCTGATCAATCATGTAATAATGCAAAGTGCGGTCAACCTTTTCATCATTCTTGTTTGTATGAAGTAAGTATTCTGGTAATATTTGAGTATAATGAGTTCTGGAACATAATTTTTTTTCTCATAACGGTTTCTACAGTGGCTCAGGTCTATTCCGTCAACAAAACAAAGTTTCAATACATTCTTCGGGAATTGTCCTTATTGCAATGACGTAAGTGTAATTTTGTTTATTTGAATGTTAAAGTTTTAATTAAGTTATTCTCTCATTATTTGTGCAGGCCATTACCACTACTATTTGTGATCAATGAATTTACAACTTATTTAAGTACGATTTTACAATATCGTAAATGTCATTATTTTGCTGTGATACTTTATTCTATGAGGTATTTAAAAATCATTTATTACAATAAGCAGGGTTGTTAGTGGTAACTTACTGTGGTAAGTTACCGGATAAATCACCATGAATTTTGGTGCTGCCATTATCAGAAAATTTCGTTGTAGACAATTAGCAAACATAAATACGGAGACAATCGGAATAAAGATAATATACTTCGCTGGTAACTTACGGTAACTCTTACCATTTTGGTAACTTATCACCAAAATTTATAAACTACCGTAATTTTGCAACCCAGCTTATAAGTGCTGTAAATGGAAAACTTGGAAGTGGATCTTTATAACTGTAGAGGACTTAGTCTTATATAATATGATAAATTCGCTACAGTGATAAATATTCACTTACAGGTTTTTATTCTACAGCACTCTTATATGTAATTGATATTTTGTGTTTAAAAAAAAAAGGATATTATAACATATTTTATATTTTTTTTACTATGAAAATTTATTCACTTTGACGGTTTTTTAAACAGATTTCTTCCTGGATTTAATTTTATAAACTCAGCTAGATAATAGCAAATGTTTATTAATAAATTGGCATTTTATTATTTTTTTTTATTAAAAATATAAATTTGCAATAAATTTAACTTTTACTAAAGTGTATTTATAGTGTTTTATATTTATTATATTACACAAAGCTATTAGAATAGCTAATTAAAATTTAATATAAAATTTTACTTTTTTTGTTTATTTTTAAGAATTAATATATTATAATTATAGGTTATATGTAGCTATAACTAAAATATAACTATTAAAATAATTTTTTTTATAAATAAAACTCTGATTAAAATTAAAATTAGAGTGAAACTTAGGATTTTATCTAAATTTTAATATATATAAAATTTAGTAAGAAATTTTTTTATTAAAGTATAGGTTTTATTATCAAAATTTTGAGTTATTAGTAATTTCTAAAAAAAAACTA